AGTTTAGTGGGAGAAAATAGGGTTTTGAGTGAAAAGGCTCTTGTTTTAATTCACTGACTAGAATACATAGCAATTCTAAGGAATTTCAGAAAATATCTTTCTAGTCCACACTTAAATGGTACCATTTACTTCGGCACTAATATACTTTACACCCTAATTTCTCAAAAACAAATCATTTATACTTAAATCCAATGTTAGCACAAAAGGTAAGAAATGGCCTTCACAAAGGGAAAAAAATGCATTCAGGTAAGCCATATATTGCTATATGTATTCTTTTGTAGAATTCATCAAGAAGAAAAAGCAACCCTTTCTAAGGGTACAAAGACTCATAAAGAGCTCACAAAATTAGAAAATTACCACCTGTGGATCCCCACTTAAAAACTGATAAAAATACAAATTCCCAAAAAGCTTTCTTTTTAAAATTATTTATTTTTGGCTGTGCTGGGACTTCACTGCTGCTGGGGCTTTTCTCAAGTTGAGGCGAGTGGGGGCTGCACAGACTCCTCATTGCGGTGATCTCTCTTGCAGAGCACAGGCTCCAGAGTGGGCTTCAGCAGTTGCGTCTCCTGGGCTCTAGGGCACAGGTTCAGGAGTTGCGGCACGCAGGCTCAGTGGTTGCGTCTCCTGGGCTCTAGGGCACAGGTTCAGGAGTTGCGGCACGCAGGCTCAGTAGTTGCATCTCCTGGGCTCTAGGGCACAGGTTCAGGAGTTGCGGCACGCAGGCTCAGTAGTTGCATCTCCTGGGCTCTAGGGCACAGGTTCAGCAGTTGCGGCACGCAGGCTCAGTAGTTGCGTCTCCTGGGCTCTAGGGCACAGGTTCAGCAGTTGCGGCATGCAGGCTCAGTGGTTGCGTCTCCTGGGCTCTAGGGCACAGGTTCAGGAGTTGCGGCACGCAGGCTTAGTTGCTCCACAGCATGTGGAATCTTCCAGACCAGGAATGGAGCCTGTGTATCCTGCATTGGCAGGTGGATTCTTTACCACTGAGCCACCAGTGTTAGTCACTCAGTCACGTCTGACTCTTTTCGACCCCGTGGACTGTAGACCGCCAGGCTCCTTTGTCCATGGGATTCTCCACGCAAGAATACTGGAGTGAGTTGTCCTTCCCTTCCTAGGAATTGAACCAGGTCTCCTGCATTGCAGGCAGATTCTTTACCATCTGAGTCACCAGGGAAGCCCCCCAAAAGCTTTAATGGCTTAATAAACTAAGAGCATCAGTCTCTATGACATGGTACATTAGCTGGTCTTTTTATAGCTGTCTGGGTGTGTTAATAATTACTAGAGTCATTTAAGAAGCCTGGGTTAACAACCTGTACTAGAAAGAAGTAATTTTCCCTCAGGATTTAAACTTAGCGTAACATTTAAAAAAATTCTATATCCATAGGTTATTGTCACCATATATATGAGTTCTTAAAGAAGAAGCTTGTCCAAGAGTCTCTCTCTAGGATACATGACTGTTGCTATCCATCCAGCTGACCGCAACAGAGAAAACAGGCCCCACTTCACAGAGTACTGTGAGGTGTCACTGTGGTGTGTTCCTTACTACCTAAGCCCTAAAGCTGAAAACACCCTACAAGGAAGAAAGACCTGTCCTGAAGATGTGACCAAAGTAGATGAAATGATAAGGACACATTTAGGATAGGATTTTTCAGACAGTGCTACATAAACCTGTTTTGTCCTGGAATTCCTTGGTCTCTTGAGTTCTGTGTCCTGTTTTTCAAGTGGAGTTTGGTTTTAAGAGTTCTTATCATTTAAGAATGTTTAAATTTCAAGTTTGTCTCTTTTCATCATTTCTGATCCATGACCAAATTATGGTCTGAAGTATTTCAGATACAAAACAGAAATGGTAACCAAAAGGATGTGAGAAGTGAGAAGAAAATAGGAGCTGAACACATTCCTGATCGGGCTGTTTGGTAAAGATTTAATGCAATACAAAGAGAAGGAACCTGGAAGGAGGAAGAGCATGTTTGGTTAGAAGTTGAAATTCCATTTAATGCTGAATTTGAGGTACCTGTATACGTATTGATGGAGAGGTCAGTTTGGAATAGGGAGACAAAACCAAACAAGAGAAATAGAAGAAGACAAAGGTGAAAGCAAAACATGAGCAAAATAGAAAAACAAAGCCATAGAGGAGATCAGCACAACCAAAAGATGACTTTGAAGAGAGAAGTAAAAAATTACTGACTTGGGCCAGTATAACCCAAGAAAAACAAATGGGGCACAAATAAATACCAGATATAAAAATAGGGAAATAGCTACAAAAGCAGAAGTGATTTTTAAAATTATTAGACCTCCATGAATAATATCATACCAAAATACGAATACTTGAAGACAGAGGAGAGAAAGGTCAGTTATTTATATTTTTGGTGTGATGTTATTCATGGAGGTATCTTGTAATTTTAAAATTCACCTCTGTTTCTGTAGCTATTTCTCCTTGTTAGAGGGAAAATATAGAGTACATCTCTGTAAACTTTAGAGCGGAAAAAATTTTTTCAATAAAAACTGCCAAAGATAGCTGAAAGGACTGATAAGTTGAACTAAGCTAAAATTAATATACTATTCATCACAACACACCATTAACAGAGTAAAAAGGCAACTCATAAAGTTGAAGAGAGATTCACAATACATGTATCTGACAAAGGACTTATGTAGAATATATATTCAGAACTCCTACAAATTCATAAGAATGAAAGACAAACCCAACAGAACCCAATAGAAAAATGACAAAAGACTTAAGAAAATTTTCACAAAAGAGGACATCCAACATGGCCAAGAAACATATGAAAAGGTGCTCATCTTCCTTAGTCATCAGGAAACTGCAAATTAAAACCACAGTGACATACCACTACACACCCACCAGAATGGCTAAAATTAAAAAGATGGAAAATGCCAATGGTTGGTGAGGATGTGGAGCAACCAAAACCTGCTGATGGAAGTGTAAGTTGACACAAGCACTTTGGAAGCTGTTTTGTAGTATCTATTAAAGCTAAATGTACTCATATCCTGTGACCCAGCAATTCTACTCCTAGCAAATCTCCTACCAGAAATGAGTATATTTTACTAAAAAACATGTTCTAAAAACATGTCATGTAAAACATGTTTACTAAAAAAAAAAAAACTGAAAAAAGGAAAAAAATGTTTCACACTCCATGATTCCACATCTATAAAATAAAAACACAAGAGAAACTAATCTATTATAATAGAAGCCAGGATAGAGATATTGCCGTTGAATAGAACAGTGACTGTAAAGCCGGACTGAGTTTTCTCAGAGTACTGGTACTATTGTGTTTCTTGATCTGGGTGCTGATTTCACATGTGTATTCAGTAGGGCTGGAATAGGGTGAGGCAAGCAAGATATCTAGGGAGCAGTACTGAAGGAGGCACTCTCTCTTACCTTCCATCCCAGTCCTTGGGTTCAGTTTGTGAATAGTTTTTGAGCTGTATCATTATGATGTATGGGCTTCCCTGGTGGCACTAGTGGTAAAGAATGTGTCTGCCAATGCAGGAGACATAAAGAAATGCAGGTTTGATCCCTGGGTCGGGAAGATCCCCTGGAGGAGGGCATGGCAACCCACTCCAGTATTTTTGCCTGGAGAATCCCATGGACAGAGGAGCCTGGTGGGCTACAGTCCATGGGGTTGCAAAGAGTCAGACATGACTGAGCATGTGTGCAAGATATATATTATGATGTATGTTGTTTTCTGTATGTGTATTATACTTGGATTTTAAAATGTAAAAGGAGTCTGGTCTACCTTACCCCACAAATAAAAATTAACTCCAAGTGGAATAAAAATTTAACTGTAAAAGGTAAAACCTTAAACTTTTATAACAAAATAAAGGAAAGTATCATAAATGACCTCAGATAAGGAAGGATTTCTTAAGAATATCCAAAAGCACATGTTAGAGGAAAAGTTTGACTACATTAAAATTAAGAACTTCTCTTTAGCAAAAAGCATCTTAAAGAAAGTGAAGAGACAAGCCACAAACCTAAAAAAAAAAATACTGTAACATATAATGGAAAGAAGTTATTATTTAGGATATATTTTTTTAAATCAATGAGGAAAAGATAAATAACCCAATAGAAAAATGCATAAAAGACTTGAATAGTTACTGTATATACATAAAAAACCAGAATAGCCAATACACATGAAAAGATGCTTAAGCTCATTAATAATCAGGGAAATGCAAATCAAAATCAAATCATGAGGCATTACCATTTACATCCAGTGGTTAGGCAGAAACCATAAATGTGGGTAATACTAAGTGTTGTCAAGGATGGTGAGCACCACTCCCTCCACTGGTGCTGGAGCACAAACTGGTACAACCATTTTGGAAAGCAGTTTTTCACTACCTAAGAAAGTTGAAAATGTGCAAGCCCTAGGACTCTTTGGAATAGTCCTCAGAGACACTCTTACATATGTGTACAAGAAGGTGTATACATGAATGTTTCTAACAATTACAAAGAGAAAGAATGTCTATCAAGAGTAGAATATTCTACAACAGTGAAAGATGAATGCACTCTAACTTAGGGTTATCCGTAACACTTCTACCCTTGTCATCAAGGACTTAATTATACTTCCAGTGAGTATAAATAAACAGAATATTTTAAAATAATATGCTCTTTTAAGTTAAAGAAAATCTCATATTTCCTAAATTCATGAGTACCTTTTGTAAAAAGAAGTATATTATTGGGTTGGCCAGAAAGTTCGTTTGGGTTTTGCATAAGGTGCTATGGAAAAACGCAAACAAAATCTTTGGCCAACCCAACAGAAAGTCTATTTTTTCCTCCTAGACATGGACAATTTCATTTAACAAAGTATATTTCCTTCTTGAAGACAGTGCTTTTTTAGAATAAAGACTCGAGGTCAGGGGCTAGTTTTGCTTTCGTTTTTATACCCAGCACACTCCACTGGACGGTCATACTGTGATGAGCGGTGCGGGAGCTGAAACATGTCAGCGGGGTTTAACCGAAGCAGGAGGGGGGCACTGTGGCTTTGCCTTACGTCACTGCTGCACTCCTCCTCCTCCTCATCGCAGTCGAGGCCCTGATGGGCTATCTCGGTCGTGTCGCTCTCCTGGAAGGGATTGTTCTCCAGATCAGACACTCTGGCGGCTTCGGTTGTGACTTTTACTTTCATGCTATGAAAGCCAGTGGAGACCATTCCCACTTTCAGGTTTACAGGCTCCCCTTCAAACAGCAGGAAGTGTGAGTTTACTCCTTCTTTAAAACCAGGGGGCTGGTAATCATTTGGGGTCACTGCAAAATGGAAAGGGCAGAAAACCAAGAAAACTCTGAGTTTCAGGAGAACAACTCAGACCAGTCTTTCATGTGTAACAACAGCCATCTCTTTCAAAGGCTTGCCAAAATCCTTCTGTTTATCCAAAATACTGCTTCAGCACTAAAGAGGGGATTTGACTACAGGTCTCCACCTACCTGCATTGTAGTAGTGGAGTGTCATAGTCAGTATAACATCGTTAGGAAGGGGTCCAAGGTTCTGCATCAGTATGTACAGTTTACGGATCATCAGAACACTGGCTTTCTTAATATCTTCACTGTTTGTCACACTTTCGAAGCTCATGTTACTGCTATAATCACATAAGAAAATAGCACACTTTTCAATCACATATAATATTGAAAATCTATTTCAAAAAGAACAAAAATTTTTACTGTATGAGCAGATAAATATAAACTAAATGCAGGACACTCTTGAAACTATTTTAGAATGTAAATTAAAGGAGTTATTGTACTTTTTGCAATGTATATACAAAGGGGTTCTTAAGTAGCAAGTTCCCTTAAGGCATTTTAAATGTGACCTGATTTTTTTAAATTTGATTTATAAATGACCGCATAATTTAATACTGAGAACAATGGACTTGACATTTAATATTGGCTCTGTTGCTAACTAGCTGAATGACTCAGGTCAAGTCACTTAGACACACTAAGTCAGTTAGCTCCTTTGTGAGATAAGCTTACACATGTTTCTATACCTCTCCAAATTAAATCAGTCATCATCTCTGGCCTTTGTACCATCTGGGTATCTCTCAGAGGCATCCCCTTCTCACTCTTGCATGGATTATCACCATGACTGACTATTCTTCCTGTTTTCCTTCTTGTTCACACTGCAAAACATTCTCCACACCACTCCTAATATATATTCCTAATGGGAAAATCCACTCATGTCGCTCTCTTAAGTTTCTTATATTGTATCCATTACTTTTCAATGAAATTCGAGAACAGTGTGTGTACAATGGCCTTTCACCAGCCGCACCCTCACCTCCACCTTCATCTGTAACTAGCCATCTGTAACTGATTCCTTCTTACTCCTATGCACTTGTGTATGCTGTTCACTCTGCTTATACTGAACTTTTCCCACTTGTCTTCCTGACACTCATGTGTCATCTCCTCAGGGAAGTCTTCTCTGGTCATCCCTATGCCTCACCCCTATGTATAACTGTATGTCCCCTCTAGACTGAATGGCTGTATTTTTCATCTCCACAGTGCTAAGTTTGGTGCCCGACCCCAGTAAGTACTCAATAAACATTTGTTGTATTAATGAGTGAATGAACAAATTGGGCTAAATTATCTTCCAACTCTATAAACATTTTTTATTTCTCTCCAAAAATTTTCCCCCGATTAGTCTCACATTTGAGTAGTTTCCAGGAAGGGCTGTGACTGCAATATATTTGTACAATGCCTTTCACGTAGTAAGTACGCAATACTGAAAAATAATCCTTAGTAACTGAACTACTAGAGGTAGTGTGAATTCATAAAACAAACATTATTAAGTAAACACATTTGCTCCTTTTTCAGTTTCGAATAACTTTTGTCGAATAAGTTTTGTCTGCCAGGATCCAGCCATTTTGAAATAAGTAACCAGAGGGAAGGGTATAACCATGAAGGCATGGGACCTTTCAGTATACATCATAGTCATGGAATCGTTTCACGTAAAATCATATTCAAGACTTCCTTGTACTGTTTTTTAAAAGGAAAATCATCTTTAATATGTAAGAGGTGATAAGGTAATTTTGTATCAACAGTCACCTGAACAAAGGCCCAGCTTGGTCTAGTATGCATTACCTTCTCTTCCCCTGAGTAGCAGAACGATTTGGCCATTTCTGTTATACTGCTCACCTCTAGATATATGCGCCTTCACGACAAAAGAGATTAATCTGGTTGTCAGTGGTACTTAGATTTGAATTTTAGAGAGCAAAAGGCAGCTGCTGTTCTATGTAAGAGACTATATATGAAAAGCTCTGAATACTCTGTGAAGTATTATACAGATGTTAGCTAATGATGTTTAGTACCTTAATTCTTATTCCTAGAACTTACTTCCTCTTCACATCCTAGTGCTGTCTGGAAATTTTACAAGGGAGAGGATTATAAGGGTATGAATCTTGGAGAGAAATTGTAAAACTTGAAGTAAATGATGAGACAGAGCTCATCGTATGGAAAATTGAGAATGAGGCCACATTTCTCTTCAGAGTCATTCCTTTCAGAGAGACTCATGCCTCTGAGGTGGAGCTCTCTGCCACCCAGGACTTTTCTCCATCCTCCACCCGCCCCATTTCTATTCCATCTCATTAGGAATACTCAGCTCTATCTGAATCCAAAAGCTGGGAGGGGAATAAAACATCTCCAGACGTACTGAGGACCTTCTGGAGCAACTGTCCTTGTCCTTGCTATTTAACCCATTAGTATATCTAAAACTTAAAATTTTAGACTTGATAGGAAAATGAAGTGCTTTCCAGTTTTTTTCATACAAGGATACAATATACATGGTTATATTCATATGACATACGGGGGTAAGCAGATGAGAATACTTGTGTCTATAGGTAAATAGAGCAGGGGCTTCACCTATCCCAGTCCCCATCTGGCAGAACTGAGGGTAGAAAGGATTGCTATTTGGCATAGCAACTCAGAAGCTTCGGGTTAGTGGTTACATAAAACCTCATAGAGTTCTTCAATCAACACCTTGTACACAGCCCCATCAATATGATTTCTACTGCTGTGCTACCCACCAGCCACCATAAAGATCACCACCATCACCACCGTGACCACTAGGTACCATTTACTGTGTGCTTCTTACCTGCCAGGGGTGGGCAAAGCTTTACCTATGCATTATAATTTAGCAATCACAGCAACCATATGAAGTAGATATTATTAATTCCACTGTGCGGATGAGAATGCTAACATCTGGGGAGGCTGAATATTCTGTCCAAAATTATATGACCAGAAATAGTCAGAGCTGGGGATCCACGCTAGATCTTTCTGCCTTAAGAATTAGGGCTCTCAACCACTAAACTTAAAACTGCCTTTAGACCTACTGATATCACCTACAAGGAGAAGAGGGAAAGAAGCAAAGGAAGCCTCTTCTCCCACCACCTTCATCCATGGATTTCAGAAATTTAAACATTACATTCCCTTCCCTTTTTATAATAGTAGGTTTTTTCTAAGACTATTGGGGAAGTTACAAGGAAGTATAAGGCCTATAACTGGCCTCAAGAGGCATATGTTTACCTCAATCCTACGTATTTCTTATGTTCATTAAACAATTAGATTCTACCTGTCAAAATCCATAGTGGCTCCTTCTTTTGTGTATTTGAATTTGAACTGGTATATCTCAGTCACTTTCTAGAAATATCAAAGGGGAGAAAGAAAGCAATCACTTTCAGAAACTCTCTGGATTTTCTTATCTAGTAACAGGTGTTACTTACCAGGTATTACAGGTGTTTTCTTGTCTAGTAACAGTACACACCTTCACTGTATGCCTTCTGTACCTCCTACATACATGTTTGTTTTACAGCATGACATTATTCAGGAGTGGTATCTCCAGATAAAAAGATAACAATTTTTCTCCTCCAAGCCAAGAATGAGTTAGATGGCATAGTCTATTGTTACTGCTTTAAAGCTGGAGAAACTAAAGCCCAGAGTTAAGTGTCTGACCTGGCTTTGGTCAGTAACAGTGGAACCAGCTAAGAAACCTATTCATTCATGGAACGGATATTTATTGAATGTCTACTTTGGGTCAAGCATTGGAGTCACTGTGGTGAACATGACAGAAAAAGTCCCTGTTTTTCCGGAGTATACAGACTGGGGGGAGAAATGGCCAGTAAATAAGTAAACAAATAACATAATCTCAGGTGGTAATAACTGCTGTGGACAATATGAAGCACAGCCTGTGACAGAGGACGGAAGGGAGAGGTGCTGATTGGGTTGGGAAGGGCCAAGGAAGCCCTCGCTAATGAGGTGATGTTAGAGCTGAGCCTCCTTGACAAGGGTCAGTCCTGCACAGACGTGGGGGAAGGCGGGGCACCCCAGGCAGAAGAAACAGCAAGGTTGACGCTCTAAAGGAGGAAAGGAAGCCTCCTACAGGATTACAGAGGAGGCCAAGTGGCTGATGAGTGAGCAAAGGGGAGAGTGTAGGATATGGGGTTGTAGAGGAAGTTGTGGTGCCTTGTAACTAAGAGGCTGGGACTTTATTCCAAGTAAACAGGAAGTGAATGGTGAGTGGTATTCAGCATGGGAGTGATTTGCATTTTTTAAAGATCACCTTGGCTATTTTAAGAGTTCGGAGAAGTGGGAACCATGAGAGTAATTAAGATGGTAGTAACTCAGGGAAGACTACAATGGCAGCAGGTAAACTAGAAAAAATTCGAAAAAGAACCAGAGTCTGTGGTATCAGATCTTTTTTTTTTACTTTCATGATCTTGCACTAAAAACTAGAAACCACTGCTATCTGCTAGCTATAAATAAAGACAAACATAAATAAATAAGTTAGAAATAGAGAGAGACAGATTTCCTCATGAGAGATGTAGTCCATTTAAAATAAAATGATGGCCTAGCAGTTGAAGCTAACATTTGACCCAGATATACATACAGTTGACTCTTGAACAACACAGGTTTGAACCATGCAGGCCCACTTAAACATGGATTTTTTTTTCCCAATAGTAAATACTATAGCTCTATGTGATACGTGATTGTTGAATCCAGAGGATGCAGAACCAAGGATACAGAGGAACTGTGTACACGGAGGACCTACCATAAATTATACATGACCTTCCACTGCATGGGGTCAACACCCCAAGCCCTCTGTTGTTAAAGAGTCAACAGTAATCTATCCACAGAGCCGGAGAAGGTGCTGAAGACAGCCAGGCAAAGGGTGTGAGCTTAAGTCAGAACACAAGACATACTCTTCCTTCATCATTTCAGTGTTTCGTTCCTTGAGAGCGTGGGCATGGGAATGTTAGATTGATGAGGAAAAAATCACAACGTTCTCGTTACCTGTGTCTATCTGAGATTTGGTGTCCCATTAATCACAGTGAGCCGGTCCTGGGGATACTGGCTCATGCTGCTTACATTCTTAAAAGACTGGTTTGTAATGGAGTTAATTTTAAGAGAAAAAAAATTTTCTAGCAAAACAATCTACGTGAGAAATCAAACCAAAATCTGAAGGCTGCTTTGTGAGTCCAATAGGAGAGATGTATGAGACTGGAGGCGCCTACAGCAACAGGCTTCCTCCAGACAGGCTAGATACACAACACCCTTCTTCGTGGATGAGGGTGTAACTGCCCTGTCAGGTAAACAATGCCTGTTCTTCCTGCCCGCCCATGTTTCCCAACCAGCTCTAGCTTTTTGATGTTCCAAGCTATCTTTTAATTGTATCAAGAGTAGATCTTGTAGTGGTTGATAAAAAATTGACACTTTCTTATTTGGTCTGTAGGGCGACTGATAAGAGTCGTGTTTGTAACTGTTTACACTGTGTGTGTTGTGTCTGATTCTTCGTGACCCCAGGGACTGCAGTGCCAGGCTCCTCTAGCTCCATGGGATTCTCCAGGCATGAGTACTGGAGTGGGCAGCCATTCCCTTCTCCAGGGGATCTTCCTGACCCAGGGATTGAACCCAGGTCTCCTGCATCGCAGGCAGACTCTTTCTCATCTGAGCCACCAGGGAAGCCCAATTGTTTTACAGAAGATGCTCATCCTTAATAACTTCAATCTGTGTCTGATTGATCAAAGAAGGTGTATTTGCAGCAGGCACTGGTCTCTTCTTAACACCTCATAAAACATTCTCCTGCTTTTCAGATTAATGTGTTGCCTAATAAAGATGAGCCGTTAAGCTGTTCACCAATGGTTTCTATTAATCATACTGAATGTATCCACATGGACCAGAGCAACGGCAACATATACAGCCTTTCATTCTCCCTCCATGTTCCAACCCACTGGCAAGACGTTTCAGGCCTGTCTCCAAAGCGCATCCCCAGGCCATCTGGTTCTCTTCACCCCGTCCAAGCCAAGACCAGCTCTTTCCATCTGATCTGCTTGCATCCAAACTATTCCTCCTCCTCCAAATTCATTCTCTGTTCTATAGCCAAAAAAAGTTTGGAAAATGCAAATCAGACCTTGTTGCTCCTTTGTTAATGATTTCCCACTGCCCTCAGGATAAAATCCGGTTTACCTTGGTCCCCTGGCCTGACTCATCTGTGCCCTGCCGACCTCTCTGCTCTCTGACCTTCTCTCTTGCCTCTTCCTTCCACCCCACTCACTCAGCTCCAGGCCCAGGGCAGCCTCTCTGTCCATGAACATACAAGATGCCTTCCTGCCTTCAGATAACTGCCCTCTGGGGTATGTTGTCTCCAGTTGATGACAGTAATCATGATACTTGGGCACCTCCCTAAATGCTCTACATCTGTTCATTCTTACTAGCCAGACTGGAGGCAGGTACTACACCATCACAGATGAAGCTAGTGAGCGGCACAGCGGGGCTCTGACTCTGACATCCGCAGGGTTAACTCCTGTATTGTTAGGCCAGTTCCATGCTGTTGCCTTTCACGGGCCTGCACACGGCGGCACTTCTGGCCACTCAGTCTCCGCTCAAACAGTGGCCCCTCAGGGAGACCTTCCAGGCACAGCCCTCCAATTTTTCTTCCTCCATTCCCACTTGGCACTCTCCAGCATACCACCTCCTTTTATTTTCATAGCTTTATCATGTATCTGAAACTTGCTAACTTTTGTTTACTTGTTCATTGTTTATCATCCTTCATAAGCTTAATGTAAGCTTCCAGACAGCAGGGACCTTGTCTATCCCATTAATTCCTGTGTGTCAGACACATAAGTGGAACTTAATTAATACTTGCTGAATGAATAAATATTCAGCCACAATAGAGTTCACATTCAATTGGATTTCATCTTACAGAATTAAAAAAAAAAAAATCTCCAAAAGTATATTATGGCTAGAAACAGGGACCATCTCTAGTTCAGTTCCTGAAATGATCTATTAAAAGTGGTGTTGACCACCTCAGATAGTCACAAAGAAAACCAGATGGCGAGATGGTAAGATTTGTGGTGTTGTATCAGTCGTGTCCGGCTCTTTGCAACTCTATGGACTGCAGCACACCATGCTTTCCTATCCTTCACCATCTCCTGGAGTTTGCTCAGACTTATGTCCATTGAGGTGGTGATGCCATCCAACCATCTCGTCCTCTGTCACCCCCTTCTCCCCCTGCCGTCAATCTTTCCCAGCATCAGGGTCTGTTCCAACGAGCCGGCTCTTCACATCAGGTGGCCAGAGTATTGGAGTTTCAGCTTCAGCATCAGTCCTTCTAATGAACATTCAGGGTTGATTTCCTTTAAGATTGACTGGTTGGATCTCCATGCTGTCCAAGGGACTCTCAAGAGCCTTCTCCAACACCACAATCTAAAGCATCAGTTCTTTGGTGCTCAATCTTCTTTATGGTCCAACTCTCACATCCATACATGACTACTGGAAAAACCATAGCTTTGACCATACGGACCTTTGTTGATAAAGTGATGTCTCTGCTTTTTACACTCTGTCTAGGTTTGTCACAGCTTTTCTTCCAAGGAACAAGCATCTTTTATTCAAATATAGTAATTCTTTATGGGTCTATCATGTGTTAGGTTACACATCTTATTAATACCCTCCACCCATTCTGTAGCATGCATCTGCAGAAAAGCTACACTGTCCCTCTTCACTGCTTTAGTTACTTTTGTTGGTTCATCTTTCTTGAGATGGAGCAACCAGAACAAAACCTCAGGTGCAGAAGCACCACAGCCTTGTGCAATGCCCCAAACTCTGCTGGTCTCTGGACAGAATAAGCACACTTGTTTAAGCCAGAGGTTCTCAACTGGTGTACCATGACAGAGTCTTCACAAGAGCGCTGCAAATTTTAGTCCATGTGTATGTAACACGCTTTTTTGCTTCAGGTAAATATTAATGTTGTTATTGTTTGTACAATTTTGCTTAGGGGAGGCTATGCTTCTACCAATATGAGTTAAGAAACATGGTACCATATTAGATAAGACTGTTTACGTGAGTATGTTGTTTTGAGAGTATATAAAAGAGTGAGATCAAAGAGGTAAATAGTTCTCTCAGTGACTTGATGCTAAAGAGCAATCATGAAACAGTGTAACCCATGGATACTCTCAGGCTATGAGCATTGCTTTGCCATAACTATGGCACATAATTATACCATAATTATTGCTGAGATGTGTGGAGTCTTTTCAAGTCTTTTAATACTCTTAAACATGCCACCAGATTAGCTAGTAATTAAAAGTGTTCCATGAACACATAGGTTAGGGATCATTGCTACAGGAAACAATATGTAAGAGTTCAGAAAATTTTTTCTGAGTCATAAATGATGGCTCAGAACTTATAATAAGCTGATTTTGCTTTCTAACTTTATTATATATATTGCCTACATCAAATTTCATTTAACAGTTTTCTTCCCACTCTGTAATATTTTTCTGTAGATAAGCCCAATTTCGTAAGCATCACACTACCTCAAAAAGCCTCAAAAAATTTCAGACTAGGAGTTTCACATGCAGAAGAAAACATAGTAATTTATTGCATGAAGGAAATGACCGATTTATTAAAAAATTATTGGAGATCTTACTTTGGGAAACTTCTCTTCAAATGTACTGGAAAAAAAAACAAACCTGAAAACTAAACTAGAGATAAATAGAGGTAGCTTGGGCACTGAGGAACTGTTACCCACCTGCATGCACCAGCTTTCTTCGGCCTTGCTCAAACAGCTATTTATAATCTTGCCAGAGAGTAGATAGTAAAGGCTAAAAAAATGCCCAGCTTGGTTGTGAAGGTCACCACTCAGGCTAAATTCATAGGCTTAGGGAAAGCGACTGAAAGCAAGGAAAGGGGAAGAGGAAAGAAAGCTGGGAGGAAAGCAGAGGTCAGAACGAGAAGACAGCAAGAAAGGCGTCTCCCTCCATCCCTGTGCCGCGACCTCAGCAGCTGTTCAAAGCAGCACAGGTAACCACCGTGCACCCAGTACGATGACAGTCACTCTGGGGGGTGAAAAGGAGACGAGACCCTGTCCTCCAGAATTCACAGTCTGGCTAGGAGGATAAAGTAATCTATAGGAGTCAAGAGTGTTGAATTGTGAGGTCCTGCTAGAAAAGGGAATTCAGAGAAGGAAGAATTTAGGGTGAACAAAATAATCAAAGAGGCTCTCATGGAAGTTTCAAACACAAGTTGGTGCTGAGGATGAGTAGGATTCAATAAGCAGAGGGAAGAAATTTACAGAGAGAAGGAAAAAGGTAAAGCTTGGAAATCTATGAGAAGGTCAGAAGGGGGAGAATTTAGTTAGCCATTAAAAAAAAAAAGTTTAGCATTTTTATGCCCCAAAGACCACAAATAGAAAGGATTTAGCATCAGTCAAAATGAAAAGGAAATGTGGTCTTCATAAATCAGATTCTCACTGTTAAGATGTTAGGAAATAGGCTTCAATGTTTTCTTCCCAGTACTGCTAGGTAGTTTTTTAAAATCTCATAATAAAGACTTGGTGACATTTATAATAAAACACACAGAAAGAGCTCAATATGAGTTACTTTACTCATTTGGTAGTCTAGTGACATAATCTATGGCTTCAACTCAGGTAAACATATTTAAATATACATACACTGCCCATCTCTCTATGTGTTCTTACCTCAGGCTCCTTAGGATTTGTGTAAAGCTATTTAAGGAAAAATAAACAGCATTTAATTTCTGAAACTAGATTACTCCTCACAGAATACATTTGCTATGTGAAGAGTTCAATTTAATGCTATATCGAGTACTGAAATACATATATGCATAGATTATATATACTTGAGATATATATTTCAAGCTAGAGGTGGGATAAGCTCTAATTTTGTGAACATAGAGAGTCTTTAGAGTATTCCATGAACACTGACTATAAGGAAACTGATAGCCAGGTATTTATAATTACTGTAACTGAGCTACAAATAAATTCTAAATAATTGGTTATGGTTTTAAAGTTTTAAAATAATTTATATATCTAAGACTCTCAGTAGTATCGCCTCATTTTCTTTCTGTTCTTAATGACATATACCATGCTATACCCAGCATACTTTTTAAACTTCAAAAAAGTCTGCAAAACTTCAAAAACAAGGAACTTTGAGTCTGTAAAGTAACTCAGAAAATAAAATCCTGATAGCCAGTAGATGGAACAGATAGTATATTCTATATATTTCCTCAGTTATTGTAATATGCCAAAGAAATATATAGACTGTGACATTTTAGTAAAAGTTTTGATAGAGGTTTTTTTTTTTTTTTAATTCCAAAATGTCATAGGACAGACAATGAAATTCAGGAAGGATGGGAGAGAGTATACTGTTTACGCTTTCACTTGCCAAAAGACAATGAAGCAGACAGAGGCTTGGTCTTTAAATGTGTACTTACTGTAAGTACTGCCATGTGTAGCTTTAAGAGAAAAGAAAACTATCGTTACTACACACTTGCACCTGTGTTAGTTTTTTTCAATAAAGTCTAGTTAAACTATGACTTCAAAGAGGTTCCAAAAATTTGGGTAGAAAAAATATTCAGAAGGTCAGAGAAATGGATACTAATTATCCATTCATCCAAGTGAGTGTCTATTATATACCCAAGATTCTGCTGGGGAGGGGAAAGATGAAAAAAAAAAAAACTATACTTACTCTCTATAAGTTACATTCTAGTTTGGGAGTCAGAAGATACAAAAAATAATTCATTATAAGAGTTAAATATGCCATAAGCATCTCTAAAACATTTTGCCCTTTGAAAGGAATCTACTAGAGTAAAAAATCTGAAGTCTGATACGAGTTCTACAAAACCCCTGCCCTCCCTACATATACATTATAGATCAGATTCTCTCTGTTTGAAAGAATAACAGAATACATAGATACACAGAGACAGAATCAAGTCTATCACAAACTTTTAAACACTATGATACAGATGAGAAGATTTTCAGGACCACAACTTTTGAATCAAATTATTCACCTATTTCACCCAAAGGACTAAAACTTTAGTGACACTGTGTGGCCATTTTGGTTACTGCATACAATTGATTTTAAGACTACCCAGTGAAACTCTTAACTTACATTATTTAATTAATAGCTCATTCATTCATTCAAAAGTAGAAATGGCCCCTTATTTCAGGGAACATGCAGACCAGAAGGAGAGGACAAAGAAAAACACACACAGATAGGTACATCATCACAAGTGTGTTAATTGCTATGAAGCAGTTGGGTTGTGAACATTACACAGATGGACAATCTCGGCTGGGAGAAGGGTGGCAGGGGGCAGGGGCTTGTCAAGGAAAGCCTCTCAGAGGAAGTAAATATTTAGGCTGGGACATGAAGGATAAATTGCAATTAGCCAGATAAAGAGTGTGGGGTAGGGAAGAAACTTTTGCAGGCAAAAGTAACAATATGTACAACAGTAAAAGGCACTCAGCATGTTCTAGAATCCTTGTGCGGCTTGAACTTGGTGAACAGTGGTGAAAGTGATGCCTTAGGAAGTGTGATCCCTAGGCCAGCAGTCTCAGCATCACTTGGAACTTGTCTGAAATGAAAATTCTCACACCAGAAATTTGGGGGTGGAACCTGGCAATGTGTGTTTTACCAGGCCCTCCAGGTGACTCTGACGCAAGCTAACATTTGAAAACTGCTGCCTTGGATTATTAACTCATTTAATTCTCAAACAACCCTGAGGTAGGTTCTAATATTACTGCAAATATAAAGAAACCCTAAGTGGTAGGTTACATGCCAAGACACAGGAATTAAGTGGCAGAACTAACATTCACTTCAGACTGGCTTTTTCCAAACCTAGAGCTCTTAACTACATTGCACTGCCTCTCAATGATGGACACTCAAGAAATGTTGCTCAATGAATGGGCAGGAGAATGAATGAGTGCTGTTTGGTGTACTGGTGATGGCCTTCTACCCCTCTCAACCCGTCTAAATCCTAAGGGCCTTCAAATCTCAGGAGTCATTTTCTCAAGAGTTCTCTCATGCCTCTCACTGGCTATAATCCCACCTTTTCCATACTTCCTTTGCACATAATCAATATCTTGCCTTTGGCATTGCATCACTTTCTAATGAATGATTATTTATACTTGTGATAAAGATGATTTTTTAAATAAAAATATCAAACAGATATGAAAAAACTCAAAATTTAATAGCCCAACCTGGCACAGGTAGAGACCAATCAGAAAAGGTGCCAACTTACCCTTAGGCTGGGTTCCTGGAAGCGCCCCCTGAGCCAGCTGTCAGCCCTTTAGTTGCTAGATTATGGAGTAGTCTGGGGAGATCCCAGCCTCCCCAGAGACTGGTGGGGTGAGAGGGAGGACATGGTGGGAGTCGTGTGGGGCCTCAGAGAAGCATTTATTTAGCACTGGATATAGAGTACTTCAGTATTTTAACAAAAGGCACAGCTACACCAGCGTTCACTAGCTGATCATCAGTTGAGGATGTGAATGTCATTCATCTTCTGCCTTGGTCTATAAGTTCTTTGTGTGCACAATCTCATATCTGTTTTATTTTTGTATTCCTCAACCTCCTGGTCAGTGTTGAATAACTCATAAGTAATAACTGTTCAATAAAAAGGAAATGTATCAGTGCAACTAAATAATCCAATGTAAGGCTTACTCACCTTAGGTTTTCTTAAAGGAATAGGAATTGGGAAGGGGTAAAAAGACACAGATGGGGGAAAGGAGGAAGCAGCGGCACAAAGTTCATTTGTTAAATTATCTCTTCCACTAGACTGGAGCTTCTAATTTTTATACCCTTTGCAGCTGTCTTGGGCAGTGAGAAAAATCTAATGCACTTAAAATTCAGGCTGCATTTTAAAAAATTCAAGCTATAATACTAGCTATTTTGAGGGAATAGGTTATATACATGTGCCAAACACAGATAATGAAATAACTAACATAGAATAAAAATTGAGTATTCAATTCCATTTTTTCCTTTCATATCTGTATATTGCATCGCCACTATTTTGAAAAAGCTCAATGTGCTAAATGCCAGATTCTTGTCTCCCCTGTCCCACATCCTGTGGATCTCTTCCAGTGACTTCAGAGGAAATTCTGTGGTCAAAAAGATATGAGTATGTGAAAGAGAAAACTGAGGGTGTCAATTCTAACTGATGTAAACGAGACATCAACAGGACAACAGAGACACAAAGTAAAAAGAAACTGGTTCATGAAGGCATACATAGAAACTGGTGTACTGTTAAAACACAACAACAAAATAAAGGCTAAAATTTTCTTTTAAAGGGGTAAAGGGCGAGTCTTTGATCCTGGTATAAATTTAAAGATGTTCTTACGTATCTCTTTTCCAAGGCATCAAAACAACCTTGAATCCTGTCAAGAAATAAATGATTGATGTCAATTTGGATCAGACTCAAAGCCAGAAAGAATCCCAAGTACAAAACTACTTTTTTTGCTTTGAAATACTTTAAGTTGATAACCATCTCACCTTTCACCCATTTAATCATTTTCTAGAAACTCTTAGTATGTTTTAATGTATTAACAGGACTTATAATAAAAGGTAAGCAGAGGCAGGGAACCACATCTTATTTTTCTTTTTGCATCCTGTAATATTTAGCACACTGACATGTATTTGATAAGTAATCAAATTTTGATTGATATTTTTCTTCCTTGTATAAAGAAAGTCTGTATTCTTAAAAAAAAAAAAACTAAATCAGTACCTTAAAATAATACTGGATAATTGTTATACATTTCTAGGAAGTAGTAAAAAAAAATACATGAAAAGAAAGAAAGGAAGAAAGCAATAGTTTTAAGGAAATGATCTTACCAAATAAAGTCTTATGGGTAATTTCAGCCATAATAAAAATGTTGTTCAACTTTGGTGGAATTTCAGTTACTTACCACTTGATAATATGCAGTGACCCAGGACATTTTTTATCTTCTCGCAGGATTTTTAAACTGAGGTCTACAAAAATAGAAACAGAGTCTGCTGTACTAAAATTGTCCATGCTAAATAAGGGTATTTCCTTTCATGATTTTATTTATACAACTTACTTAGTTTTATAGCTTATAAAAACATTTTGAATCTCTAAATGTCTAATTTTAAAACAAATCCTATGTTGATAATTGGCTTAGTTCCCATTTTTATTATAGATTAGCAGTCTCCTCTTCTACAATGTACACAACTGAGTTGGTTGTGAAATCAATTTGTGTCACTTCTTTGCTTCTGCTGAATTCTAAGTTATCACAAGGTAGTATTGAGACCAGCTATATCAAGCAATTTAAAATATACACCTCAATCTCAAATCACTTCTCTGGTATTTCTCTCTCAATGGAGGTAAAAAAAGGATAAGATATGTTTTCACGGGTTATTCTTAGATATTAATTTCCATATGAAATTCAACCACCTTACTATAGGAAGGAATAAGAAAATCATTAAAAGTTTTGGTTTAGATTAGTCTAAAAGTGATTACTGATTCATGTATGACTTTGTATAAATCACTTCACCTTTTCACAGTGTTTTCCTATTCTAAAATTGATGTTACTTCTGTTGCTGTTGAGGGACATGAAAATTATTACTGGGCATTTTTATGTCATGTGCTACTTTAAGTACAAACACTGAGAGGAAGATACATAACTTCCATTAAAACTATCATAAAAAATAAAGCTGTAAACAATGGTGTTGCCCTCCATGCATAGGTTAGTGACTGGCACACAGTAAGTGCTTAATTAATTACCCCAAACGTGTCTTTCTCCAATTCTATATTCCAAACAAGAGGAGAAACAGCAACTGTATGTGGCATATAAACATTTTTACTACTATAGATTTCTATCCTGACCAGAAGAGCATGACGCAAATGAGGTGTCACAGCTGCAAATGTGCTTTTGTGTTTATAGCACACATGGGTTTCACTGATGCTCATGTAGAGAGGCAAATGGTGTTTAAGAAAAAGTAAATTGGAATGAGTGAGGCCTAAGTTATCATTAAATACAGATGTGAGAAACAAAGTAAAAATAGATTTTGAAAAATAACATCTTACAAGGAAACTTGTAGCCTTCTATATTTATTTTCCAAATGATACTTTCCTACTTTGGTGACAAATCAGCAAAATTTTCTGAATGGTTATCACAATCCAGCTTTTTAAAAAAATTAAAAGATTTTTGAAAAACTGAAGAGTGCTAGATACATTATTCTTAATACAAGAGAAGGAACGGAGACAGAAACCGCTTGTAATCCAAGGAAATGAGATCATAAATTTAAGGACATAAGGAATAAAAGGAAGAAAACTAGAAAAGAAAAAACTGAGAAAAGAACTGATTGGAATAGTAATTATCGACATCTCCATGTTAATCAATAGATGGGTTTGGGATGGGTATGCATTTTTTTCGAGCTTATTTCTATATGTTAACAGAAAGAATTTTTAAAAACTTCTCAATTAAAGTTCCTCATTGTGGAAGTCTATCTCAAAGTCGAGACACAAAATAGTGCAAATGTACAGCACCCACATAGATCTCAACCTGGCTGCTGCTTTGGTAGGTGTAGTTTAGAATTATTGGGCTTGTCCGTACAGATTTCTTTTTTCTTCAGCCTGTCATTTGGAATCTAGCCAGGAACTAATAGTTCCTACAAGTAAAACCACTACACAAAGTGAAATTAAAATGGAAAATGAATTAGCAAATTGATCCTGACAAACAGGCCCATGACCTGGAATTAGCACACTCCATGAGAAATTAGTTTTACTCCTGCCAAATAGAGGGAAAGGGCTTCACCAGCCAAAGTAACCATTTAGTTAGACTTTACCATCCAAATGGCGTTCTCCGTAAGAGCTCTCTGGAAACAGGCCCCGTAGATACGTTATACATGAGATAGAAGTAGCAAAAAGTTTCTTCACCATTATCAGTGACTCATGCTCACTAGTGATTTGAGATGGGAAAACTGTTTTCTAGGAGGGAGGAAAAAATGTAAAAGATTAGTACTCTTTAACATATTCAGCCCATCATATCATTACCACAAGCAAAATGGAAAGACCTCGTCTGATACCTTTTGAGATAATCAAAAGGAAACAAGGCTTTGAATATTGCTTTAAATGAGATCTTCACTGGCAAGGCAGAGAAGAATGGTAGAGACAGGTATTCAAGTAATTCAAGACGAATATGATTTATTTTACAATGATCTGTGGATCTGAGGCAAAGCTGGGGGTTTTACTGTGATGACGTGATCTCCCCTTTCACACACTCCTCAGAAGGCGCTACAATCTGCCCTTCACCCCCTCCACTCTGTGCTGTTCTCTCCAGTCACCGAGTACATCCTATCATTAGCCTCATCTCGGTCCTCATAGTGTCACTCCACTGCAATGTCTGACCCTTTGCCCACACTGTCTTTCTCAGCTTCCGTAACACTATTTTCTTTTTTTTCCCCATCTATCCTCCATAGCTATTTCAGTCTCTTTTCTTCCATTTTTCTGCCTTTTCTGGGTGTTGCTCCCACCCCAGAATTCTGTCTCCAGTCTTTTCTCTTTCCATAGCTCTCTCTTCTTGAATCATTTCATCTCATTGCTTCACCTGCAGCCAGTACAGAGAAAATGTCCTCATTTCTGTTCTGAGCTTGACTCCCGTATGTCTATTTTCTGAACATCTGTGCCCAGACCACTTTGTAGACCTCTCAAACTCAGTTTCTCTCTCTCACCCTGACTGAAACCTGACCCCAAATTGCAATCTCAAACAAATGAATCCATGTCCACTTCAGTCAAATCATCCAAGCCAGACGTAGAGTCACCTTTGGCTTCTCGCCCCGCTCCATACTCCACACCCAATCACACAGTACTCTTCATTCTCTCTAGAAGCGACTCACTTTCTCCTTTCTCTTCTCGCTGACTTGGCTCAGGACATGCTCATTTCTCCCCTTTATTACTGCAGTAGGCTCTGACCTCCCTGCCATTTATTTGTTCTTTTCATTCAATCTGTCCTTCATGTTGCCGTCATCATTAACTTTAAAGAACACAAATCTTATCATGACACTCCCAGTGTCCATACAGGATAGAGTTCAAGTGTGGCATTTGAGAACTGTCAAAACCTTATCTTTGCCCAGTTTTCTCTTGCCTCAGCTCCCAGCCCTCCCCTCCTCCTCCATCCTCTCCCATGCACCCTACTCTTTAGCCACATGGAACTACTTTTCATCGACTATTCTGCTGCCACAAATTTTCACCTTTTGCGCTTTGCTTAAGCAAAAGTTCTACAATATAAGTGACTCTCACACGTGAAGCTGAGCACAGGAAACCTGGTACAAATGAGTACTACTGTATGATTGCTCTTATATAAAGTACAAAAGCAGGTGAAATGAATCCATGTTATTAGAAGTCAGGATGGTAAAGCTCCAATAACCTTGTTCAAATTCAGAGGTCTTTAAACTATGGTATTCTGTTTCAACTGTTCAGTTTTAATAATTCTGTTACTTGGAGACAGGTACTACCCACGAATATGCCTTTAGATGACAGAGAACTCCCCAAAAGCTTTTCTATATCTAGATCTGGTTCTAGAATGTCTTCTGGACATGATTTTGCAATTTAAGCTGCTTCTTGGGTACACTATATAGTAAAAATGAATTATCAGTTCATCCTTTTGGTCAAACTATATTATATTCAGCTTTTAAAAAGATATAATTATTACTCTTGCATGTATGAGAGGAATTTGGGGGGAAAAATTAATAAGAGATCTTAAAGCCAGCCTAAAGCATTTTATTTTTATTCTGTAACCAGTGGAAAGGCAGCAGGTTTGATCGGGTCAGTAGAATAATTGTTTTAGGAAAATAAAGCTAGAGCAGAAGTAGGAAAGATTACAGTTTAAAGGGAATTTGGTAAGGAATGTACATGTGTCTGCATGTAAGTGTGTAAAATTTTATACAGAAAATTGCTTTTTGTATCCATAGATTCTGAGAAATTAAGGTTCTTTGGGGTTAATTGGGTAATAGCTGGCATGACATGTATATATAATAACTTACTGAAAAGATGCCAAAACTTAGAGACAATACTTAAGTAATAACCATCTGTAAAATTAAACAATCTAAAAATATAAAGACATTTATTTTAAATATGGAATCAAAAGGGCCATTTGTAGTAATGAAGATCAATGATTGGAAAAGGCCTCTAGAATTGTTATTTTTCTACACTCCGGGAATTTTTTTCTCAGCACAACTGGTCCAATATTTTAAGAGGTATCATGCACATTTTTATAAATGTCTAGTACATGAAAATACTGTGGCTTAATAATAGAAAACACTGTTATAAGTTATTTTAATAAGAAAGTGTGCTAATGACTTAAGTAATGTTTGACAGCTCAACTGTCAAGCTATGTGTGTGTGAGTCGCTCAGTCGTGTCTGACTCTTTGCAACCACGTAAACTGTGGCCCACCAGTTTCCTCTGTCCATGGGATTCTCCAGGCAAGAGTACTGGAGTGGGTTGCCATTTCCTTCTCCAGGGGATCTTCCCGACCCACGGGTTGAACCCGGGTCTCCCACATTGCAGGCAGATTCTTTACCATCTGAGCTACCAGGGGAGCCCTATGGCAAGTTATAGTACTTCTCTGAGCTTCGGTTTTCTCCTTATTTCAAGGCTTAATTGAAATAATAATACCAATCTTTTGGACAGTGCCCAGCACATAATTATTGCTGTTTTCAGTAAAAAAAAAAAAAAAGCAAAAGCATACAGTCACTTTAAATTTTCTGGGAGAAGTAGTTCATGCAGTCCAAACTACAAAGATCTGTTTGTATCAAAATGTCAATTTGTTAATTGACAGCGCGAAAAATAACTGCCAAACTGATTGCAATTCATCTACCCAGCTAAGCAATTTCCACCCCAGGAAGGAAGCACACTTAGGAAATCCGATGAGATCAGGAGTCTGCTTGTTGAATATACTGAATTCAAGCCAGAAAGATGACGGCTTTCTCTCTGCCCCAATTCTCCTTCAACTTCAATCCTTCCTACCTCTGCTACAGCTTAATATTCTTAAAACAGTAATTTATTCAACTGTCCTGGTAAAACTGCTGACTTTCCGTTGATTGCAGAATAAAGCATAAGTTCTTTAGCCTGGCTTTAAAGATCCACACTAATTTGTCCCCAAAGTTCCTATTCAATTAGTTTTCCTACTTCTGTCCAACATGATGAAGCTCCACTCCAGTAAGGACGGGTTCTTTGTTACTCTCTGAAACATGCCATGCTCATTACTTACTTGAGCCAAGGTATATGCTAGTTTCTCCTCATGGAATTCTCCTCTCTCCCCTCCATCCTAATCCTTTTCATTATTTAAGGCCCACCTTAAATCTTGTCTCCTTCCTAAGGAATATACAAACCATTCCAATCTATACAAAAATCTCTAAATTTCTATCATTTGTATTGCTTTACTCTTTTTTTTAAATTAAAAAAATTTTTTTTCCTTTATTAGTTGGAGGCTAATTACTTTATAATATTGTAGTGGTTTTTGCCATACATTGACATCAATCAGCCATGGATTCACATGTGTTCCCCATCCTGAACCCCCCTCCACCTCCCTCCTCTGGGATGACCTCTGGGTCATCCCTGTGTACCAGCCCTGAGCACCCGTCTCACGATCCAACCTGGACTGGCAATCTGTTTCACACTTGATAACATACATGTTTCAATACTAGTCTCTTAGATCATCCCACCCTCGCCTTCTCCCATAGAGTCCAAGTCTGTTCTATACATCTGTGTTGCTTTACTCTTGTCACAAATATTTAATGCATATACTGCATTGTATATTGACTTACCTCCTGTAAGTCATTTCCCCAACAAGATTATAAACTTCTGGAACATGAAGATTCTTTTTTTTAATTCTCTCAGAAAAGAACACAGTGTTACATATATGTTATATAATACTGAGCTTTCAATGAATAAATGAATGATTCATTAATGACTATCATGGGACAAGATAAACTTGCCCAGGTGAACCCAGCAAGGTCGCCTGGCCCCGGCATGCTCCCCCAGGATCCTAGTTTCTGTCAGTGCCCTCTCCTTCAGCTCTTATAACTGCATCACAGTGTGTTATCAGAAGTTTACTGTGTCAGGAAGTGAATGTCTAACAAGGAACCTTTCTCTTTAAATATCTTTTTTTTGTTTCTGATTTCTCTTACTCTCGTTGTTGTTCAGTCACTCAATGTCTGACTCTTTGCATCCCCGTGGCTGCAGCACGCCAGGCTTCCCTGTCCTTCATAATCTCCTGGAGCTTGCTCAAACTCATGTCCACTGAGTCAGTGATGCCATCCAACCATCTTGTCCTCTGTCTTTCCTTTCTCCTCCTGCCTTCAATCTTTCCCAGCATCAGGGTCCTTTCCAATGAGTCATATCTTCACATCAGGTGGCCAAAGCACTGGAGCTTCAGCTTAGGCATCAGTCCTTTTAATGAATATTCAGGATTGATTTCCTTTAGGATTGACTGGTTTGATCTCCTTGAAATCCAAGGGACTCTCAGGAGTCTTCTCCAACACCACAGCTCAAAAGCACCAATTCTTTGGCACTCAGCCTTCTTTATGGTCCAACTGTCACATCCATACATGACTATTGGAAAAATGGTAGCTTTGACTATATGGACCTTTGTTGGCAAAGTAATGTCTCTGCTTATTAATACTCTGTCTAGGTTTGTCATGGCTTTTCTTCCAAGGAGCAAGCGTCCTTTAATTTTGTGGCTGCAGCCACCATCTGCAGTGATTTTGGTGCCTGAGAAAATAGTCTGTCATGGTTTCCAGTTTCCCCATCTATTTGCCATGATGGGACCAGATGCCATGATCTTCGTTTTTTGAATGTCTCATGAGATGAACCTTCATCTGAAGATGCTTCGAGCCTGACATCTAGAACTCTTCCCTCAACTGGTAGTTCTCCGGACTCATAACTTCACAAAACTCTTTTACTCTAGAAAGTCTAAATATATAAACATGAAACAAGCACCCAGGAAGTTACTTCATAGGAATCTATTCTAATTTCCTGAACATCCTCAGTCCATTAGCCAGTTAAAATGTAGACATACTCTGCCAGGATATTATGTGCCAATTAACTGATAAAGCTGCTATTTTAAAAAACACCAAAGATTAAAGTCATGATTCTGAATTAACTCACTAAATAGTCATTGATTTTCTTTTAATTCTTAATAAATACCTTAGATGTCTTGTGAATTCTGATAGAGCGAGAGAGCTGAACAGTGGCCATGATAGTAATGTATCAGGATTCTTTTAACAAATCTAACCTGTAGAAAAAAAAATTAATTAGAGACCTTGCCTAAGATAGTCCTTTTATTGCAAATCTTCCAAAGAACTATATAATTAGCATTTGATTGTATTCTTTGGAAAATTAGTTTAATAAACATCTCCACAACCAATTTTCTATAAATTAGAGTAAGATCTCTGGATTAGTTTTTCCAACCACCCAAGGAAAATATAAGTTGACTTACTCATTCCCAAATACATTTGGAGGAGAATAGTAAATTACAAATCCCCTAAAGGTTTGAGAATGTATTTTACTCATCCTTGTTATTCCCTCAGAGTGTTAAGTGTTCTCTATATAACAGGGGTTTAAAAATTATTTCTTGAATTAATTTCATGTATAATTTATTTTCAAAGTCAACTCAAAAACAAAAGTTTACATTTCATACTCACTAGGATGGCTATTCAAAAAGATGGAAAGTAACACGCGTAGGTGAAGACGTGGCAACACTGGAATCCTTGTACACTGCTGGTAGGAATGTAAAGTGGTGCAGCTGCTGGAGAAAACAGTATGGCAGTTCCTCAAAAAGTTCAACAGGTTTACCATACTATCCAGCACTTCCACTTCTAAACTCAGAAGTATCAAAGAGTGTTAGTTGCTCAGTTGTATCCAACTCTTTGTGACCCCATGAACTGCAGCCCACCAGGCTCCTGTCCATTGGATTTCCCAGGCAAGAATACTGGAGTGGGTTGCCATGTCCTTCTCCAGGGGGTCTTCCCCACCCAGGGACTGAACCCAGGTCTCCTGTGCTGCAGGCAGACTCTTTACCATCTGAGCCACCAGGGAAGCCCAACATGTACTGAAAGGAGGGATTCAGACAGACACACACCAATGTTCATAGCAGTGTTATTTATAACAGCCAAAAGGTAGAAACAACCCAGAGGTCAAAGAACAGTTGAATGGACTTTTAAAATATGGTAAATACAATGGAATATTATTCAGTATTAAAAAGTAATGAAATTATGATATATGTTGCAACATGGATAAATTTGAAATTATGCTAAAAAAAGAGAAAACATTATGCTAAATGAAATAAACCAGACACAAAAGGATGCCTATCACATGATTCCACTTATATGAATAGATACAGCTAAAGTAGTCAGATTCATAGTGACAGAGAATAGAACAGAGGTCACTAGGGGCTGGAGGGTGGAAGGAATGGGGTATTCAATTGGTACAGAGTTTCACTCAGGCTGATGTAAAATTTTTAGAAATGGGTAGTGGTAATGGCTGTACAACACTGAATGCACTTACTGCCACTCAGTTACCTACTCAAAGATGGTTGGGATGATGAATTTTATGTACATTTTACCACAATAAACAAGCATTAATGTTTAAAAATACATACAGTTTTCACTATCTCACTTCACTAACAAAAAAGAAGTAAATTTCCTTTTTTCTTTTTAAAGGACTTAATTTATATTGTTTCAAGATTTTATGGAGTTCTGATCAAAATATTAGTAAAATAATCCACTTAAAGAAATTCTGGATCACCTAGGATAGCCTGTGACTTGATTTTGTGTACAAATTAATGCAAGATTCTGGAAGATTTTGCAAATAAAAGAGGGCAGAATTATTTAAGAACACTGCCACAAGGTGGTGATAGAGATTATAAACAGGTAATAATTTCTCTCAATTTACTTCTTCAGAGCAGCACTAGGGGACACTCTTTTACAAGATTTAAATGAGACTGACAACCACCTGACAGTCCTTTGGTCCTTAAAGATTCCAAGGTGTCTTTGTTGACTTCAGATTATAACCTTCATTTTTGAGCGTAACCTTCAAAAGTGACTCAACATGATCACTGTCTCCTTTACAACTTCAAGAAATAAAATGGGAAAAATAAGTAACTATAAGAGTTTACACTCCACTTCTGACCCAGTAAACCAAGATAAACTACCACCTATTGGAATAGTTATTAGAGACAATAAATAATAGGGAATAATGATTTCAAGTGGGTGGCTTTTCATATTGGTGGGTTTTTAAATAATTTCTCTATGATCACAAGGTATTCTGACGGCATTTCTAGAAAATCAAGCCCTGAAAATAGTATCAGGCTATTAGAACACAATGCATTTTACTACATCCATGCATTTGGAATATATGAATAACCTGGGTTTAATTTATATTATCGCTGAAAGCTCAACCCTCCAGGATACTTGCTTTTGAGAAGGGATTCAAAACTAGTCACTATTAAGCATTAGGTACATATCTGGGGAATTAACATTTATAAAATTAGTGAAGTTAAAATTTCCATACACATATGTATGTATACAGAGAAAATTAACTGCACTGCTAATGCAGTCTGGGAGAAAGTCTTTGGAGTTAAGGAACCTGGGTTCAAATTCTGCTCAACTACCTAGCAACTCTATGTTTTGGTCAAATTACTTAGTCTTGCTGGGCCTCAGTATCCTTTTTGTAAAATGAAGACAGTAAATCCAGCTTTTCAGGGCTCTTAGAGTGTTTATCAGGACATGTATTTATCTGGAGAGGAAACACAGCATAGTGGTTAAGCACGTGAACTTTTGCGAAGCCAAATTGCCTAGGATCGAATCCCAGTCTGCAATCCAATTGCCATATTGTTTCATGCACATGTTTGCCTCAGTTTCCCCATCTGTAAAATACAGTCAGTAATAGGATCTACATCCCAGGCTTGTTGTGAGGACTAAATAAGCCATTATTGGTAAGGCATCAAAACACTGTCTGACACACATTTCATTATGTGCATGTTTAATTTTAAAAATCTTATACTAGTATCTGAACTCCTTGTTTTCTTCAGCTTCCCAGTTGTTCCTTCTCACTGTCATCTTCAGGCTTTTTCCCCTGCCCCTTTTTAAGCTTTTGGTGCTCTTCAGGGTTCTGTCCCAGGAGCTTTTTTCTTTTTAAAATTTTAAAACACACCCCCCTGGGTGAAAAAATACATTTTCACTGTTTCAATTACTATTTCTATTCTAACAACTCTTCTATGTTTACCCCAACCTAGGTTTTGCTGGGGAGTTGCAGATCTGTACCTTTGACTATGAACCAGTTTCAGTTGGATTTTCCCAATATATCCAAATGTGAATCCTTTTGCCCTAAACCTATTTCTGTACCTTAGCTGAGTGAATGACAGCATCAAATACCTAGATTGCTCAAGCCTAAAAACTATGACTCAACTCTGTTCCCTCCCTCATTCCTCCATCCAGTCTCCTAATATTTCTCAAGCGTCCACTCCTCACTTTATGCACATGGTTGTCATCTCTGCTTTAGATCAGATCAGCTTCATCTTTCGCCTGGATTTCTTCAACCGCCAGTCTGTCATTGGCCTTACCCATCTCCAGTCTGTTCTTGGTATTGCAGCCAGAGTATTCTTCTTAGATTACCTATGGGAATCTGTAATTTCCTGAACTAAAACGCTTCAGTGGGCCCCCAGTGCCCTCAGGATGAAATCCAAACTTCTCAAGATCAGGCTCAATCCTCCTTAGCCACATCTCTAACCATTTTCCCTTATACTTTTATGCATCAGCTATTCTTATCTACTTTTAAAAATTTTAATTAATTAATTTATTTTTGGCTGCTCTGGATCTTCGCTGCTGCCTGAGCGGGCTACTCTCTAGGTGCAGTGTGTGGGCTTCTCACTGTGGTAGCTTCTCTTGTTGCAAAGCATGGGCTCGAGGTGTGCTGGCATCAGCAATTGCAGCTGACAGGCTGTAAACATGGGCTCAGTAGTTATGGCACACGGACTTGGTTGCTCTGCGGCATGTGGCATCTTCCGGGACCAGAGATCAAACCCATGTCCCCTGCATTGGCAGGCGGATTCTTCCCAAACAGGGAAGTCCCTTGTCTACTTGAAAAGTGTTAGTTGCTCAGTTCAGGATTGAACCCGGGTCTTCAGCATTGCAGGCAGATTCTTTACCACTGAGCCATCAGGGAAGCCCAAAACAAGTGTTAATTGCTCGGTTGTGTCTGACTCCTTGCAACCCCATGAACTTTATCTTCTTTAATTAACCTATATTCTCTCAGCTTTCAGGTTTTTGTAATGTTCCCTCTGCCTGAAACATCCTCCTTCCTTTCCAATTCCCACTCACCTTCTAGACGTGGGGTTAGTATCAGTTTCTCAAGGAATTATTCCCTGGTTCACCATCAAGTCCAGTTATGTGCACATTGTAATATATACTGTATCATTTTGCATGTATGCATCCACCCCACCCTGCTGTGAGATAACATGAGGGCAAAGTTGTATCTGCCGAGTTCGTTCTTTACTTTTTAGTTGTTTTGTTTTAAGGTATACTTCAGTAGGTTTTCGTATATTCATGAAGTTTTGCAACCATCACTACTATCTAATTTCAGAAGATTTTCGTTACCCTAAAAGAAACCCCATTTCCACTAGCAATCACTCCTCATTTTTCCCTCCCCTGACTCCTTGCAACCATTGACTTTTCGTCAATATCAGTTTGCCCATTCTGGACGTTTATTTCATATAAATGGAATCATATATAAACTTTTGTGTCTAGTTTAGATCATTCTGGAGTGGTTAGCACCATACACTACTGGAATAAAGTGGGTTGTTTTTCAGTTGCTAAGTTGTATCTGACTCTTTGCGACCCCATGGACTGCAGCACACCAGGTTCCTTTGTCCTCCACTATCTCCTGGAGTTTACTCAAACTCATGTCCACTGAGCTGATTATGCTATCTAACCATTTTATCCTCTGCTGCCCCCTGCTCCTTTTGCCTCCAATCTCTCCCAGCATCAGGCTCGTTTCCAACGAGTCAGCTCTTTGCATCAGGGGGCCAAAGTATTGGAGCGTCACCATCAGTCCTTCCAATGAATATTCAGGGTTGATTTCCTTTAGGATTGACTGATTTGCTCTCCTTGCAGTGGAAGGGACTCAAGAGTCTTCTCTAGCACCACAGTTTGAAAGCATCCATTCTTCAGCACTCAGAATTCTTTATGGTCCAACTCTCTCTCTGTACATGACTACTGGAAAAACCATAGCTTTGACTATGCAGATCTTTGTTGGCAAAGTGATGTCTCTGCTTTTTAATACGCTGTCTGGGTTTGTCATAGCTTTCCTTCCAAGGAGCAAGCATCTTTTAATTTCATGGCTGCAGTTACCATCGGCAATGATTTGCACCATGCAGTTCTGGAATAAAGTAGGTAGGTGCTCCAAAAATATATGCTGAATCAATAGAGAAGTAATACAGGGACAAGGAAGAATAAAGGGTCTAGAAAAAAAAATTATAGAACTTCAGAGGTAGAAGGAACTTTAAATGATCTAGTCCAAACATTTATTTTTCCAGATGAAAAAAAATCAAGGTCCAGAGAAATCAACTGATTTATTCAAGGTCAATCAACCACTTTGTGGCAGAACTGAGAATAAAAATCCAGAAAATAATAAAAATTTTTAAAAATCAAGAAAATTTGACTCATAATTTAGGGGTTTTCCTACAGTGACTCAGCACCATGAAATTCCCTTGCTTTCACTGCATCCAAAATAATGCACTACCAACACCTTCCTAGTTGCTGGGCTTTCTTGCTGGTTTCTAAACATGGTAGTGTCTCTTTTCGGTGTTCTAAAATAAGCTGGCTTCAGGAAGGCAAAAAAGATCTAAGTAATTATTTTAAATAGCCAGTTTCCTTTCAACTTCTAACTATTCTGTTGCAACTGTTGTTTTCCCTTTGAGCAGGTGTTTTGTGGAGGTCTCCTATTCAAGTACAAACTCTGCTTAATTTTGAAAGCTTACAAGATGACAGCCCCAGGAGGCTGTGACTCTGTAGATCATGTATTCTCAGAATTATTCTAATTTTTTTTAATCACCTTGTTCTGACTCATTATCTAAAAACCTAAGATTTCAAAACTGTGAGTTTTAAGAACAGAACTCTAACTTTCAAATGTCTTTGACATTTGTCTTACACTTTGCTTGTGTACTGGATTCACACACATCTGAAACTTCACAGGTCCTCAAATACCATTCATTCTTATGCCTGATGTGTCTACCCTGACGAGGATTATGATCTTGAGAAAGGCAAAATTTCTGTGTTTTCTCAGATAAAGACTACCTCTGGGCTTACCTCTTGACCTACATGTCAATTGCCCTATTTAAAATGGAAACACAATTACTACTTTACCCTTTCATGTGTGAACCCAAGATTCAGATAAAAATTAACCAGCTATTGTTTAGTTTCTAAAGGCCTAAGCCTCCTTGGAAGGTTGGGGGAGGGGGCAGTGTGTGGAAGTGGGAGGTGTTTTTCTGAGTGACACACACACAAAGTTTCATTACATGTGCCCAAAGACAGTAACAGTTGATTTCCTAATGCTTTCCATCCATCTTTCCCAATCTTCCAAAACCATGTTTTTTTAAACAAGAAACTCCATTTTCTAGCAAAGGAATAATATCCAATAGCTGGATTCTAAAATGCAGCTAGATGACCTTCCTTACATGTATATGATATGAAGGATGGCTTTACTCAAAGAAAGTACATGTCAACATAAATGGGCTTGCATCATAAAGTGAGGAGGAGGAGGAAACATCCTCTGCAACTAACCAGATCCCTTCAGGTTTAAAGAAAAGGAAGTGGAGGAAGGATGGTCTTTTTAACAAATAGTGCTAGAACAACAGGACATCCATAGACCAAAAAACACCCAAACCCCTCAACCTAAATCTGACATCATATACTAATATTAATTAAAAATGGATCATTGATTTAAATGTAAATATAAAACTACAAAGACTAGGAAAGTCCAGCAAGAGGACTTTTTTGTCAAAATTCACCCTGTTACTCAGAGGTTTCACAGAGTTTGATCCCATAAATTATTATTCTCTATTTTAACAAATCCCATTTGGCCCTGGTAATTCCCCTACTCCCTACTCACTCAGAGTAAATCGTTTCCACCGTATTAACTGGGTATTTGTTCATGCTCTTTTGGTTTTTTAATATCTTCTTCATGCTACTTCAATTATTCATTATATTCAACATTTACTGGGCGACTACCATGTACAAGTCTTTGAGTAGGCTTACAAAGATGTAAAATACTGTTCCTATCTCAAGAGATTTATGGCCCAGTGGAGGAGAAATCAGATTATCCTAATTAGATTAAAACTCCTTTACTTTTTCTTCGATTTCATCAGCCAAGTACACGATGTACTACTACTGCACACCATGTCCAGTGCTCTGCACAACTGGACACATTTTGGTGATTGGCTAATCTTGAGTTTCAAGACACACTCTGCACTGTTTGGGGAAGTAAAGTCCAGGAGATTAAATGGCAAATCCTGGATAAGGCGAAAGAGGAGCCGAGGTCAGCCCGTGGGGACTCACACCCTCCTCGCTCCCCTCTTGGTCTGCGCCAGCCATTGATTCTGGCAAAATGCCTCCACAGCTGGAGAAAACCTGATCGAGAAGATAATCCCCCAAAGCTCCCCATCCGACTGCGTGTTCCAACACGCAGATATCGGTCTGTTTTGGGGGCCGATTACCCGCCTCTGCCCTCCGACCAGAACCGATTCCTTCTTTTCCACCGATATCTCATTTAAAAGCTACCTTGATAGTGGAAATGTGTTTCCAGTACAGTTCTTTCCACCCCCCCCACCCCCCGCCCAGACCCCTCAGTAAATGTGACATTTTTCATCATCAAGTGTTTGGGGGAAAATGGAACCTGGGGGGTTCCCTCCGTCCTTCGCCTCGGCCCTGGCTTTCTCGCTACTCCTCAGAGTACTTCAGGCCTCAAAAGAAATACTTTCAAATCAAACTTAAAGCCTCAGGTAAAAAGAAACGAAAAAAAGAAAAACTAAGAGAACTAATAACATTCAAAGCGCCCGTTTTTCTCTGTATCCCTCCCGTTTGGGCAGCTCTCACCTCAGCCGGTTGACGCCTTCCAGTGACTGGGACTCAACCGCCTTTTCGGGCTAAAACTCGCCTCCGGCGCTTGTGAATCATCAACAAGGCCTTCCTGGGCGGGGCGAGACGAGACGCTTCATGAATAATTCATTAATTCTCGCGCTCTCTTGGGCGACCCGTCTTGAGCGCCGTCTCATGCGTATGCAAATGAGGGCGTGAGGTGACTGGGACGCCCCCAGCGAGCCCCGCCCCCCACGCCGGGTCCGCGTGCCCCGCGGGGCGGTGGTTCGCAGCCCACAAGTCAAGCCGCCGGAGCGGCGTTGGATCTGCGGCGTTTCTCGCTTTTCTGAGGGCTCGCTCGGGCTTGAGGACCCGCGGCGAGCTCGAGGCGCCGCACACGGACCTCGACGGGACCCTCGGCTCGCGGCCGCTCGGCGCGGTAAACCTTACGTCGAGGAGATGCCTGCTGGCTGAGGTGTGAGAGCGGCGGCGAGCATCTCGCGGGCAGCGAGGGGCCTGGGCTGGAGCCTGAGGGACCGTGGAGTTCATGTTGGCCAAGTCCCGGAGTGAGAGGTCGGAGTGAGAGGTCCCGGAGAGGCCAGGGGGCCCGCGCGGGGGCGGCGCAGGGGACCGGAGGCAAGCGCCAGAGGGAGCGGGTTGACGACGAAGAGCTGTGGAGACCCAGGCCACAGAGGTTTCGCGCCTGAGGGCATTTCCAGTTCTTCCCTGTGTGGACCCAGTTTTGCGTTATTTTTAATATGCGTTGGTAATTTTGGAAATAAAGCACTTAATATGTACTCCTCTTACACTGCCCCTAACCTCGTCCCTTGCGCAGAGGTGACTCCGGTGAGCAGTGGGGTGCGTCCCCTCAGGCCGCATGTGTCGGGGTGCTGACAGCCCTCACAGTCAAAAATCTGAGTGTAAATTTGTAGTCGGCTGCCCTCACCTGAGATTCGCATCTGAAGTTTCAGCCAGCTGTGGATTGTAGAGTTACTACAGTAGTTATTGGCAACAGTCAGCGTGTAGATGAACCCATGCAGTTCAAACCCGTGCCGTTCAAGGGTCAGCCGTACCACTTTAATTCTACGTTTTCCAAAAGTAACTGCTCTTTGAGCCGACCCTGCAGACGGTCTCTGCTCTAGCCCTTTCCAGTCCCAGCATTTTCCTGCTTCCCTCCAGCTGGACCGCGAGCCCCTCTTCTGGCTGTGCTCCTCGCCTGCCTTCAGGTCTCAGTCAGCTGATCACCACCATCTCAGAGAGCCCGCCCAGTGCTGATGAGGTCTGCACCACAGACACACGCCGTCATCCTCTCTCGTTATCACTGTTTTCTTCCTAGAACTAAGCACAATCTGGATTTCATGTATGTGTTAACCTGTTTTTCTTTCTTCATCACCGAGAATGCAAGGAAGCTTCATTAAAGGTCTCATCTCTTCAGGTCCTCCCAGGATCGCCAGTGCCCAGCGCAGTGGCGCACACACAGTAATCACTCAGTAAATTTGATGGACTGAAATGATACGTTACCCTCTTTTCCTCCCAAGAGCTTCTATGGAGTTTCTCCTACTCCTTTCCATTTGCTGTCCCTCCTGCACTCCTTTGTGACCTTTGTTTAGAACTGAAATGGATAAATGAGCACCTAGCAGCTGTGGGTGAAGCCTTCACTTTCCTCACTGATGTAACCACTCTTTGGGGACAGAAACTGTCCTTTATTGTATTTACTGAAGGTATTCAAAAAGTATTCATATTGTTGGATGAACTAATAGATGACTTAAGGAGCAACATTAGACAATTAAAAATGGATCATGCTAGGCTTCCCAGGTGGCACAGTGGTGAAGAATCTGCCTGCCAATGCAAGAGACGAAAGAGAGACAGGTTAGATCCCTGGGTCACGAAGATCCTCTGGAGAAGGAAGAAAATGACACCCCATTCCCATATACTTGCCTGGAAAATTACATGGACAGAGGCATCTGGTGGGCTATAGTCTATGGGGTCACAAAGAGTCAGACATGACTGAGCAGGCATGTACGTATGCATCCCTGGTGGTCTAGTGACTAAGACTTCCCCAGTGCAGGGGGCCTGGGTTCCATCTCTGGTCAGGGAGCTAGATTCTGCATGCTGCAACAAAAGCTTCTCATGCTGCAACTAAGACCTGGTGCAGCCAAATAAATAAAAAATATTTTAAATATTTTGTTTTAATATTGAAAAAAATTGATCATGCTGCAAGGGGCTTTAGAAATTATGAAGGAACTTTACAGATGAGAGTTTGGGTAATTTGCTCAAGGTTGCCAGGGTTTTTGAGAGACCAAGTCACAGCTACAACCCATGGTATCACACCTCTCACTTCAAGGCTCTTTCTTATTTCCAGCCAGTCTAGTTTCTGATTACTTTTCTGAGAACCTGACTTACAGCTTAAACACAAAAATCCCAAGACTTGCTTCTTGTCAGCTAAGCTTTTGAGCTTATACTCTTCATCTTTTGATTAAATCCAGCCCTTGGGATAATGGCCTAATAAACTCAAAAGTGCTATATGGTATTTCAAACAATTTTCCATCTTCTTTTATGCCTTTCAATTGCCCCTGTCAAAGCAAAATATCTTGTTTGTTTTGGAAGGAAAAAACGTTTGTTGTACAAGAAAGTGATCATTGTTTAGAAATTTCCAAATAACCACTAGTTAAAGTTTTGCCAAATCCCGTGTCCAGTAGTAAAATAGCGTATGAAACAGATGAAAATGGAGAGTGGGGGGAATCTTTTTGGAGATGACTTCTCATTGCCTAAAGGTGACCTTTCTCTCTTCAGACACGTGTGTCTCCTTTTACTCTGTGTACCTGAAACAGCTGTCACTCATTAGTGTCTAGGTAGACTTCTGCCTTTGAGAACCAAAGACTATTCAGGGCTCCTTCTTCCTTCTTGGCAATTTTTGTAGGTAACACCTGATGTGCTGCCTAGGAGGGTCTTGTGGAGTCCTCTCAGCTTTTAGTATTTTCCCGTTTTTTTCCTGGTGTGTGACAGCACACTGCCGTCACAGAAAGTAGAGATGCCTTTTGTCTGATTGACTGAAACTTTTCCCCACCAAATTCAGTTTAACACTGGAAATTTTTCCAAAAGACAGTTTTTACTTGAGCATTATCAAAACAGACATATTGAATATAAAATGTAATCTCTAAATCTTTCTCCCTCTTCAGTGCACATAATCATGATGCCAAATGCAGAGAAAAGAGAGTGAGGTGGGGGAGCAACTGCTCTTAACATCATCATAACTTCTAGCCATCATAAATCTGACACCACCATATTTATTCATTCATCAAACATTTATTTTGCTCCTACCATTTATAAAGAACTCTGCTTGGCCTTGTGGGGACCAGAGACATAATGACTTGGTCCCTGAGCTGTGGAACTTTTCAGAGAGAGGGAGTTTGGTAAGAGAGGGAAACCTGTAAACACATTACTCATATAGAAAATAGTTTGCAAACATTATTAATGAAGGTATAAATTATATGATAGCCTGTAAAGAAGGGAGCTCTGCATTCTGAATGGGGAATCAAGACAGCGTCACAAAGGAGGTGGCATTTTAGGAGGAGAATGTGTATATATAATTTGCTTTGCACATTTTATGGCAGTGGTTTTGTCCACTTCAAAACAATAAAAGACGTTTTGCCCAGGACTTGAGAACCAGGAAAGAAAGGGGGATGTAAGAGCCTGTCTTTGCACCCCTGTCAGTGACAAGCTTCTGAAGCTCAGTGTTGCTTTCGCAGTCCCAGGTGCCTCACTCATGGTTAAGAGGAGTACGCTGGCTATGTTATTTTGAGCCCTTTCATTTCTGCATTAGGGTGTTATCCTCATTTCCATTGGGGCATTCAGTAGCCATGTGATATTTTTGGGGGGAGGGGATCAGTGGTGGTTATAAAAGTGTTTGTGAATGTGTCTCTGAAATCTTAGAATTTTAAGTATCACTGAGAAGGAAAGAGAGACAAATGATTGAAGTTTTTCATCAAGCCTGTGTGTGTAAATTGGCTGTATCCTTACTTATCTGTTGTATTTTTTTAGAGAGGAAGGCAAAGATAAAAAATTGCCAACTTGGCTTTAGCTTTTGAACTTGATCCATTCATTGGCAGCCACATAGAAATCAGTCAGTATGAAAGAAACCCCAAATATAAGGTCTAAACTTATGCTCTTGCTTCTTTTGCCCACACACTACCAACTTAAAACACAATTCCATATGTAGGCAGCAATTTATTATGGCGTTCATACCCACTCTAGAGTGGCGTATCAATTTCTGCATCCTTTGAACTGATCTTTTCTGACTGGCAGAAAAATCTCCATGTGGGTTGTGTGTCTCTGGGGAAATCTAGGGTGTAATGAATTGGAATAGGAAATGACAAGGGCTGAACGGTGATGGGTGCTGCCTGCTCGAATGAGCTAAGAAATGACGTCAGGGGAGGTATTGAATGCTTCAACATTATACAAACGTTCTGTTTGGCTACTTAGTTCTGTTTCCTGCTATGAACTTGGTTGACTGTGAAATGATTTTATTCTTTGTAATGTTTATCATTTAATAGAAAAGATTTCAAATGAATAGATTTTAAGCTGCCTTTCTGTGATTGCACCTTGGTACATCTGTACATGGATCTGAGAGGTGATTTGCCACACTACTGACAGTCCATATTTTGAGGCCCTTTCTACACATCTTGATGCTTGGAAAATGACAGTTAGCAAAATTGGTTTAGAAGTCCTATGAGAACATAGTCCAACTCAGCCCCATGAGAGGCTTTTTTCCCCTTCCTTTAGTTCATACTGTGGTGAAAAGTCGCTCAGTCATGTCTGACTCTTTGCAACCCCATGGACTGTAGCCTACCAGGCTCTTCCACCATGGGATTTTCCAGGCAAAAATACTGGGGTGGGTTGCCATTTCCTTCTCCAGGAAATCTTCCCAACCCAGGGATGGAACCCAGGTCTCCCGCATTGTAGGCTTTACCGCTTTACCGCCTGAGCCACCAGGGAAGTCTAACCTAATGCAAATATGTAAGCACTAATAACCTGTGACTGAGAAGATCCCGAATTTAAGATTCAGGATACTTAACAATCTTAGCATGAACTGAATACAATAATACGAGACATTTGAGGCAGGCCTTTCTAACATCTCTCCTCATTAAACAAACAAAAAGCAACTGCTTCCTGCCAAAAGAAAGGT